CTTCGAAGCAGAAGCGGCGGGACGCTATCCAACCAGTTTTGCGACCCAGTTCATTGGCCAGGAATGTGAAGCTGTCGCCCCGCAAGGCCGGGTTCGCCTCCCCGGGCATTCCGGCGTTTTTGGTCACTTCGGTTGATGGCGCTGGTTTCCTGGTTCGAGCCAAGTAGCGGTGCTTTAGCAGTGCTGGGCAAAGTGTTAGGGGAGGGCAAAGAACACGGTGTGGGAGCCAAACACAGACTCAACGTGGAAGAAGATGTGCCGCGTAAATGTCTGCACTCACTGGCCTGGGAGCATCCAAAGCACTGCAGAATTTCACCCAACACGTTCGCGAAGAAACCTCTGCTGAATGCAAGCCCCAGACGACCCGAAATGCAGTCTCTGTGTCTGAGGGCACCTGCAACTCCTTTGCATTGCCCATGAACGTGGGCAATTGCCGTTCGAAGCCCCAACCCCCCCCTCCGGTCGACGTCTCGTGTCTTTATGTGTTGTTTGTATATAGTCCGCTTCTGGGTGCTTCGGAACCAACCCTGACGGGTTGGATGCATGGATTGATAGATTGCAGTTAGATAGAAATAGATGGGTGGATAAGTGGACAGGCGATTTAATTGGATAGACCGAATGCGCTGGTTGCGCACACTTTGCGGCAGAAAGAAAACGGGGAAGTGGGGGGGGGCTCGATCTCCACCGGTTTTTGCCCGTTTCGCGATCCCAGAGCGCTGCCGTGTGCTTCCTGGAGCAGCGGCTTCTGAGGCTCCTGGAGCTCGGCCGACCGACCAAAGGGGCGGCGTGGGGGTTGATCCAAAGGTCCGTGATGCCTTGGTGGCGAAGCCAGCCATCCGGTTCCTTAGCCTTTTAGCCTTTTAGCCTTTTAGCCTGTAGGCCTTTTAGTGTTTAGTGGCAGTTTCCATTTAACCCGCTGAAAGTTAAACTTTGAGGGGGGATCTGAGGGCAGCCCAGTTGCGTGGGATGACCATTGGTCGGAAAACCACATTGGATAGTTGGAAAACCACAACTATTGATCGATCAACCTGGGAAAGCTTAGCCAGGGTCAAACTGGGGGCCAGGAAGATTGATTGAACCCCCACATTTTGCGTTTGGCAAAAAGAAAGAAACCACATGGGATTTGGCGTCCCCAGTTTTGCCACAAAGCCAACACTCCCAAGGAGTTTGGCGCGTCCATTTAGTGCTCGGAACAACAAATGCTTCTCGTCAGATTCTAGGTGTGGTGCTGAGCGGAACCGATCCCTTTGCAGTTGAGATATTTTTCCTGTTGTTCTTTTGCAACGCCTTGGGCCTTGGGTACTGTTTGAGGTTCAACTTGAGCTAGGTGGCTTTCACTTTCGGAAGTTTGCAATCTTGAAACTGTGCCGGGACCCATCTCGACAGCACTTGGGCCTTGTGAAAGTTGCACAGTTGGGTGATCGTATCCATTTAGGAGCGACTCTTTCTTGGCCGGCAACTTTGCCAAGGGTAAACATCTCAGACCCCGCCAGTGTCGCATTCAGAGCAAGAGTTCCACCTTTTGCAGCTGTCCGCAGCCACTTGCAGGGCGGACAGCGACAGCAAAATCAAGACCATGAAAGACAGCTTGTACGATGGCGTCAGCGGATGTGCCAGTAGCTCAGCAGCTGCGTTGCGTGTTGCTGCGGGGTTCTAGCATCGACACAGGCAAGAATGACCCGCAAACCATCTTCACTGGATTTTGGGCATGGTGTGGATCCTTGGGTTGGGTTCAGGTTCATTCCATCATATCCTGTCGGAACTTTGCGCCAAGCGACTTCAGGGCGAGGGCAGATACAAGTACCTCAAGCTGCGGTCCACCACGGATCTCAACAAGAGGCAGCGCGCTGGATGGAACTCACCCGAAGCATGTGGATTTGGGGTACGGCTGGTGTACAAGTTGGTTGTGGTGAGAGCCTGAGCCTCATCTTCATGGTCCAAGAAGATCTGACTCTCTCTCTCTCTCTCTCTCTCTCTCTCTCTCTCTCTCGTTAAAATAAGTCGATACTTTACTACAAGTGCAAATGTTGTTCTTGCTGTCACAAACACAAATGTAGTTTCCCAGCATGCACTCTTTTCCTTGTAGACTCAAGGCCTGCGGTCGGGTAGTGTACATCATGATATTTGACACGGCCCCTTGGTTAAAAGACCCTGTAGTGTCTTTTCAACCATATCCAGAAAGGGGAAAAAGTGCAAAGGGCTCAAAGTAGTTTTGACTGCAAAAGGATCGAAAGTAGTATAACTACAACTCTGCTGGCTGTAGTCCGCTGACTCTCAAAGATCAAAAAAGCTGTAGTACGTACAGGCTGCTCTCAGTAGCTCTCCTGTTCAGGCCTCAGTAGTGGTACTGAGTGGAGTTCATGAGATACATCCTGATGTAGTTTGGACCTGGAGGTCCAAAGTTGTAGTGAAGCTGTGGTGCTGCTTCACTGATGTAGCATCACCTGTAGTTAGGTGTGCTTAGTCCAATGCTGGACTCTGTAGCCTTGTTGCTGACCAGTGCGGTGGTCAAGGCTGGTGTAGTGGTTGGTAGTGAAGGTAGTAAGGAAGTCAGGGCCTCCTCGAAAACAAGTGTAGTTGATCTCTGGAGGTGGAAGTGGTTGTTGAAATGTAGTGAGGAGTTTGTGTAGTAGTAGTTTGTGTTGCATGGGAAGATTTGTGGCAGTGAGTAGTGTGAATCCGTAGTATGTGGAACTCTTGTGCATGATGGTGTTGATTGCTTTGTAGTGGTGATCCTGTAGTTGTTGTGGTTGGTCGTAGTAGCTGAGTAGTTCAGGAAGGTGAAGAGGCATGTGGTAGTTCCAGATGTAGTTGTTGGACAGGTTGAAGGTGGTGGTGATCTGGTTCATGTCGTAGTTGATCTTGTGAAGTCGTTGGGGTAGTTGCCGAGTGGGTAGGTGATGTTGGCCAATGACTGACACCATGTGACTCAAGTAGTCACGCGAAAAGTTGATGAGGTGGCCGCTGCTGATGTAGTGTAACAAGATTTCTTGAGGGAGATGAAGTCGAACGATGATCATGGAGTTGGTGTGTGATGTGGTGAGGTGTAGGGAAGTCAAGTTGTAGTGAAAGAAGTTGAACGCTTCTGAAAAGCGTAGGCTGAGTGGTAGTGAATCGTAGAGGGGCATTCGTAGGTCTGATGGCAGGTTGTGGATTGGCCGTTGGTAGTCAAGGTCTGGCATTGGCGTGGTCTGCTGTTGGCTGAGTAGTTGATACTCCTCCAAGGTCAGCCCCACATAGACCTCAGCGTAGTTTTGTCCCTGATCCACAGTTGGAGTGTGAATACTGTCGTACTCGACAGGTGGTTCAGGATGTCATCGGGCCTGTAGAATGGTGCAGTGGTCGGTAGTTGGTGATTGAAGTGGTAGTTGAGGGCATTGTAGGCCTCAGGTGGCGGAGGTGCCACAGAGACCATGCTGCTGGAATCTGTAGTGGATGGTTGGTTTGGTGGTGTCGAAACTCGGTCAGGTGTAGTAGTACCAATCTGCTGTGCTGGCACAGTAGTCTCAGGCAGTGTCGTAGTCGCATCCATGGGTCCAGACATTGCTGGTAGTGCGATCAAGCAAACGAGGTGAGACGGGGCAAAGTAGTGAGCCAAATGGTAGCTCACAAAAAACACATGCGGGAATGTAGTAAAACAAAACAACATGCAATGTTGTCCCAAGCCGCCAAAAGCCGCCAAACGTGTAAGTGCAAATTTCTGGTGGTTACAATTACTGTGACTTGTAGCTACTGTTACTGTTACTTACATGCAAGTAGTTACATATGGCCATATACAAACTGTTGTGGTTGATGTGAAACAGTTGTTGTTCGTAGTGCTAAACGCGTATGCCAATGCTCGGTGTGAGCCTCTGTAGTGTTTCTTTGCTGATGTATTTTGTGAACAAGTCTGAGCTGTTGTGAAGTGATGTGTTTTGCTCGTTTGCTGGTGCCTTGTCGTGTAGCTATGCTTTTGCCTGCTGTGGAGTCTGTGTGAATGCGTAGGTTGAGCTTGCTGCAAATGTTGGTTTCAAGCAGGAAGTTCCTGAGGTGTAGTCCCTCATTAACTCCTGTGCATATTGCGTAAAGTTCTGATTCTGCTGAGCTTAGTGCTATTGTAGCCTGTGTTCTGCTGCCGAATGCAACTGTAGTTCCAAGGAAGTGGATGTCGAAACCTGAAGTGGACTTCCTGGTAGTAGGGCATCCTGCCCAGTCGGCATCGACATGAACGTCGAGATCCAGGATGTTGTTGGTGTTTGCCCTGAGTGTTGTTGTTGGTTCTATGGTGAATTTGTAGTGCTTGGTGCCGTGCAAGTAGCGCAGTAGATGTTTGACTCTCTTTTGTGAAAGTTCTGTAGGTGCCGTGAGGTCTCGTGCTAGTTCTTTTGTGGAGTATGCAATGTCTGGTCGTGTGTATGCCAACCATTGAAGTTTGCCAACAATCCTTCTGTACCTTTTGTGTTGTTCGTGGTCAAGTAGTGCTTCATCTTCTATTGTTGGTTTGTAGTGTGCAATTCCTGGAGTGTTCACTGAGTTGCAGTTGTTCATTCCAGACTCCTCGATCATGTTGTCGATGTAGGAGTCCTATAGTCCCAGGTTGCAGTAGTTGCCAAAATGGTCGATGTTTCTTCCAAGAAATTGTTGTGGTTTGCCAGGTTCGAGGTAGCCGATGTGCTTGAGTAGGACCTGCTTCTGGATGGCCTCGAAGGTGGAGTCGACAGTAGTCTTGTCACCAAGTACCAAGAGATCATCCACGTAGACCATGATGTAGCAGTCGCGAGTCGCGTTGTAGACGTTAGGTTCTGACTTTAGTCTTACAAAGCTGAGTTTTTGTAACACTTCAGCCAGGTAGTCCTGCCATGCTTTTGGTGAACTGCGTAGTCCATACATGGCTTTCTTTAGTCGCCAGATTTTGTCCTGTTGTGGACAAAGTTCTTGAAGGCCAAAGGTAGACGTCACGTTGTTTACCGTCGTGGTCTTTTGCGATGGGTGCGTGTAGAAACGCTGTAGAGACGTCGCTTAGTCGCGCTATCCAGTTTGATCGTGACATTTGTAGCGCGAGAAGTGTCCGGAGTGTCGTGAACATTGGTGTAGAGGCGTAGACGGAGTCTTCGTCCTCGAGCTTCTCTGTGTAGCCTTTTGCGACGATTCGGCTTCGTACTCCTGGTCCTTTCTTTCTGTGTACCCATCTTGTAGGTATCGCTTCTCTGATATATTTGAAGTCAGGTTGTAGTCGTCTGACTGTCCTTGCTTTTAGTACGCCTTGTTCTGTTGCGACGTAGTTTTCTCCAGTCTCCGAAACCTTTCCGAGCCATATGCATTTCTGCATACGTAGATCGGCTTTCGGAAGTTTCTTGTGCTGTGGTGGAAGGTAAAGTAGTGTTTCGCCAAATTCGCAAATTGCTCGCTCGTAGTTTCTTCCCCAGCGGCGTTCGAAGCTTGTGTAGCCATCGGAGTGGATGACGTAGCGATTTACAGTCCATGCTGCGTTCTCTTGTAGTTGCTCTTGTTCTTGCCCTTGTCTATTGATGATGGTTAGTCGCCAATCATCTAGTTGTTCTTCTGGTATTGGGCATCCGTTGTTGTGTGGTGTGAACAGTGCTTTGCGTGGTCGTTTGTGGACTCGGATGGCGTAGTCACCATCGAGTTTCCAGTAGTCAGTGTTTCCACCAAGGATTCGTCTTAGTCCTTGGTCTGTGTGAGTTAGTGGTGCAATTTGTTCTTGTCGTTGTTGTTGTTTTGTCTCATGCGTAGGCTGGATTACAGCAATGGATTTTCCATTGTCTGTAGTCATTGGGTAGATGTCGTGTCCTGTAGGTATGTTGATCTTTTCTGCTCGTAGGTAGAAAAGTCCTGAGTGTCGAATAAGCTGTGCTTGTTGTTGTCCATGTGAGATAGTGCAGTGTCTCGGGTTGAAGTCCAGTCCATATCCTCTATCAAGTAGTCTTGATGCACCGAGGATGGGGTACTTCACATCACAGACGTAGTAGGGTATCATGATCCTGAGGTTGTCCTGCTCGTAGGGAACGTACTTGATGCCGTAGACGGGGATCTTCTTGTTGGTCACAGTGTGGAGTTGTGGAACTGATTCTCCACACAGTCGCAGTGGAAGATCCGGCGTAGTCCTTTGGGCAAACATGTGTAGACGCTCCTGAGTCAATCAGTAAGTGGTGGTAGGACTTGAAGTTGGAGTACATAATGTAGTGAGTGATGTTGTTGTCAAGTTTCCCTCGTTTCTGTTGTTGTGTTGCTGCTGCAATGTTGAGGTGTAGTTGAGGTCTGTCCTCTTGTAGGTACTGTTGATAATTGGTGCTGTGGTCATTCCATGATGTTGTATGAGTTGCTCTTCTCCCAAGTAGTGATTTGGGTTTGTGCTTACATTGTAGCGGTCTTCCTTGTCTGATGTGTCCTATGGTGAGGTGCGACTCGTTGATGCCTCCGATGTAGTTTGCTTCACCTTCATGACTGTAGTCATTCCAGTCCCAGCTGTTGTCGTTCCAGTCGTAGTCGTTCCAACTCTCCTCCATGTAGTTCACATCATGTCCATGTCCTTCTTCTCCTTTGTAGTACCAATCCGAAGTGTCGTGCATGTCTTGAGGTAGTTCCTCATTGTTGTCCTGAGTTTCTTGTTCTTGCTCAGGATGTTGTAGTTCTTCTCCTTCTCCGATGTGCCAAACCGGCACTCTGCAATCCTGCGCCCAATGGCCAGGTTTGCCACATCTGTGGCATGTCATGTAGTTGCTGTTTCCTTTTGCTTTTGATTTGCCGTAGTTGCTTTGGCCTTTGTAGCCTTTGCTTGATCCGTAGCCTTTGGATCCGTAGCCTTTTCCTTTTCCTTTGTTGTAGCCATTCTTGTTGTATCCTCCTTTGTTACCTTTGTCAATTCCTTTGTAGTGGCCTTTGCTTCTGCACTTGCCTTTTCCTTTGTTTCCTTTGTAGGATCCTTTGCCTCCATATTTGCTTTTGCCTTTGTAGTTTCTTCCTTTCCTCCAAATGTTGTCCACGTCCATGGGTGCTGTTCCACCATTGTAGTTTGTGCCAACCGCTGAGCTCGCTCTTGAGAATGCAGATATGGTCCTGTAGTAGTCCAGGATGACAACTCTGATCTTGTTGTAGTTCGTGATCTGTCCAGCACGTAGTTGGAGATGTTGTTGAAGTGCTCCTTTGGTCTTGTTGCGTAGTATTGCAATCTTCACTCCATCTGGTAGTGCTGTGCCGTTGTCTTTCTCGTAGCGGTTGATGTCATACTCCCACTGTAGGAATTGTTCTTCAAATTGTGCTTCATTGAATGTAGGTTCGAGTAGTTTGGTGAGGTAGCCAACACTGCGTGTTCCTACTGGTAGGCTGAACCTGTTGTGCAAAAGCCGTAGTGTTTCACATCCATTGGCATTGTAGCGGGTTTGTCTGACCACTGTAGCTGCTGCACCTTGGCAGATGTTGATGAGGATGTAGTGTAGATCTCGTGAGAGGTCTACTGCTTTTGTTGCTTGTGTAGGGTCGCGTATGTGGGCTCTGATGTCTGCATCTTCAATTTGTCTTGTAGCTGCTTGTGCTAGTTGTAGTACCATGTCGAAGTCTCGGTCAATGAGTCCGAGGTATGCTTGTAGTTTGAACAGCCACTCTTCGTACTGTGAGTAGTCACCAGTGAAGAACGGTGGTCGCAGTTTGTATTTGTGTAGCCTTTGGACGTCTTCCTGCTCCCGTGTTGTTCCCGTAGTTGTGGCTCCTATTGTCTCCTCTGCTGTGGGCCCGTTGTCTGCTCCTGTAGTTGGTTGTGCTGATGCTGCTGCTGGTTCTCCTGACATGTCGTAGTAGTTGGGCATGTGGTTGCCTGTGCAGTTGTAGTACTTACTGCTGTTACTGAAGCTCCCCTATGCTTAGGATCTCAGCTCCGCTACCACGTTAAAATAAGTCGATACTTTACTACAAGTGCAAATGTTGTTCTTGCTGTCACAAACACAAATGTAGTTTCCCAGCATGCACTCTTTTCCTTGTAGACTCAAGGCCTGCGGTCGGGTAGTGTACATCATGCATGTACAAGGGACAAGTAGTACAGCATGATATTTGACATCTCTCTCTCTCTCTCTCTCTCTCTCTCTCTCTCTCTCTCTCTCTCTCTCTCTCTCTCTCTCTCTCTCTCTCTCTCTCTCTCTCTTTCTCTCTTATTTTCGTTGCTTTTCGTGTTCGCCGTAGACATTGGCACGCATGTGTGGAAGTCGGGGCATTTTTTTCGCTTTGGGGTGCGAGGAAGTCAGAAGAACCACATCCTTCGAGCGATGCAGGTATGCCGAGCCCGCCACCAGCTCCCAGGAGTTCGGCTGGACCCAGCCAACAGGCGAGAGAAGTCTTGGGCCAAGCGCGCTTGGAGGAATGCTCCAAATTCGGGCAACCCATGATTTTCTCCACGTCGGCGCAAAAAAGAATGGAGGAATTCTCCAAATTCGGGCAACCCATCATTTTCTCCACGTCGGCGCAAGTAAGAAGAATGGAGAAGAATGGAGGAATGCTCAAAATTCGGGCAACCCATCACTTTCTCCACGTGGGCACAAAAAGAATGGAGGAATGCTGAAATTCGGGCAACCCATCATTTTCTCCACGTCGGCACAAGAAGAATGGAGGAATGCTCAAAATTCGGGCAACCCATCACTTTCTCCACGTGGGCACAAAAAGAATGGAGGAATGCTGAAATTCGGGCAACCCATCATTTTCTCCACGTCGGCACAAGAAGAATGGAGGAATGCTCAAAATTCGGGCAACCCATCACTTTCTCCACGTGGGCACAAAAAGAATGGAGGAATGCTGAAATTCGGGCAACCCATCATTTTCTCCACGTCGGCACAAGAAGAATGGAGGAATGCTCAAAATTCGGGCAACCCATCACTTTCTCCACGTGGGCACAAAAAGAATGGAGGAATGCTGAAATTCGGGCAACCCATCATTTTCTCCACGTCGGCACAAGAAGAATGGAGGAATGCTCAAAATTCGGGCAACCCATCACTTTCTCCACGTCGGCACAAGAAGAATGGAGGAATGGTCAAAATTCGGGCAACCCATCATTTTCTCCACGTGGGCACAAAAAGAATGGAGGAATGCTCAAAATTCGGGCAACCCATCATTTTCTCCACGTCGGCGTCGGCACAAAAAGAATGGAGGAATGCTCAAGATTCGGGCAACCCATCATTTTCTCCACGTCGGCACAAAAAGAATGGAGGAATGCTCAAAATTCGGGCAACCCATCATTTTCTCCATGTCGGCCCAAGAAGAATGGAGGAATGCTCAAAATTCGGGCAACCCATCATTTTCTCCATGTTGGCACAACAAAGAATGGAGGAATGCTCAAAGTTCGGGCAACCCATCATTTTCTCCACGTCGGCACACAAGAATAATGGAGGAATGCTCAAAATTCGGGCAACCCATCATTTTCTCCGCGTCGGCACAAAAATAATGGAGGAATGCTCAAAGTTCGGGCAACCCATCATTTTCTCCACGTCGGCACAAGAAGAATGGAGGAATGCTCCAAATTCGGGCAACCCATCATTTTCTCCACGTCGGCACAAAAAGAATGGAGGAATGCTCAAAGTTCGGGCAACCCATCATTTTCTGCACGTCGGCACAAAAAGAATGGAGGAATGCTCAAAGTTCGGGCAACCCATCATTTTCTCCACGGCACAAGAAGAATGGAGGAATGCTCAAAACTCGGGCAACCCATCATTTTCTCCACGTGGGCACAAAAAGAATGGAGGAATGCTCCAAATTCGGACAACCCATCATTTTCTCCACGTCGGCACAAAAAGAATGGAGGAATGCTCAAAGTTCGGGCAACCCATCATTTTCTCCACGTCGGCACAAAAAGAATGGAGGAATGCTCAAAATTCGGGCAACCCATCATTTTCTCCACGTCGGCACAAAAAAGAATGGAGGAATGCTCAAAATTCGGGCAACCCATCATTTTCTCCACGTCGGCGTCGGCACAAAAAGAATGAAGGAATGCTCCAAGTTCTGGCAACCCATCATTTTCTGCACGTCGGAACAAAAAGAATGGAGGAATGCTCAAAATTCTGGCAACTCATCAATTTCTCCACGTCGGCGTCGGCACGAAAAGAATGGAGGAATGCTCAAAATTCGGGCAACCCATCATTTTCTCCACGTCGGCACAAAAAGAATGGAGGAATGCTGAAATTCGGGCAACCCATCATTTTCTCCACGTCGGCGTCGGCACAAAAAGAATGGCGGAATGCTCACAATTCGGGCAACCCATCATTTTCTCCACGTCGGCACAAAAAGAATGGAGGAATGCTCAAAATTCGGGCAACCCATCATTTTCTCCGCGTCGGCACAAAAAGAATGGAGGAATGCTCAAAATTCGGGCAACCCATCATTTTCTCCACGTCGGCACAAAAAGAATGGAGGAATGCTCACAATTCGGGCAACCCATCATTTTCTCCACGTCGGCGTCGGCACAAAAAGAATGGAGGAATGCTCAAAATTCGGGCAACCCATCATTTTCTCCACGTCGGCACAAAAAGAATGGAGGAATGCTCAAAATTCGGGCAACCCATCATTTTCTCCGCGTCGGCACAAAAATAATGGAGGAATGCTCAAAGTTCAGGCAACCCATCATTTTCTCCCGTCGGCACAAAAATAATGGAGGAATGCTCAAAATTCGGGCAACCCATCATTTTCTCCACGTCGGCGTCGGCACAAAAAGAATGGAGGAATGCTCAAGATTCGGGCAACCCATCATGGTCTCCACGTCGGCGTCGGCACAAAAAGAGTGGAGGAATGCTGAAAGTTCGGGCAACCCATCATTTTCTCCACGTCGGCACAAAAAGAATGGAGGAATGCTGAAAATTCGAGCAACCCATCGGCGTTGGCACAAAAAGAATGGAGGAATGCTCAAAGTCCGTGCAACCCATCATTTTCTCCACGTCGGCGCGGCACAAAAAGAATGGAGGAATGCTCAAAATTCGGGCAACCCATCATTTTCTCCACGTCGGCACAAAAAGAATGGAGGAATGCTCAAAATTCGGGCAACCCATCATTTTCTCCACGTCGGCACAAAAAGAATGGAGGAATTCTCAAAAATCGGGCAACCCATCATTTTCTCCACGTCGGCGTCGGCACAAAAAGAATGGAGGAATGCTCAAAATTCGGGCAACCCATCATTTTCTCCACGTCGGCGCACAAAGAATGGAGGAATGCTCAAAATTCGGGCAACCCATCATTTTCTCCACGTCGGCACAAAAATAATGGAGGAATGCTCAAAATTCGAGCAACCCATCATTTTCTCCACGTCGGCGTCGGCACAAAAAGAATGGAGGAATGCTCAAGATTCGGGCAACCCATCATTTTCTCCACGTCGGCACAAAAAGAATGGAGGAATGCTCAAAATTCGGGCAACCCATCATTTTCTCCACGTCGGCACAAGAAGAATGGAGGAATGCTCAAAATTCGGGCAACCCATCATTTTCTCCACGTCGGCACAAAAAGAATGGAGGAATGCTCAAAGTTCGAGCAACCCATCATTTTCTCCACGTCGGCACAAAAAGAATGGAGGAATGCTCAAAATTCGGGCAACCCATCATTTTCTCCGCGTCGGCACAAAAAGAATGGAGGAATGCTCAAAATTCGGGCAACCCATCATTTTCTCCACGTCGGCGTCGGCACAAAAAGAATGGAGGAATGCTCACAATTCGGGCAACCCATCATTTTCTCCACGTCGGCACAAGAAGAATGGAGGAATGCTCAAAATTCGGGCAACCCATCATTTTCTCCACGTCGGCGCAAGAAGAATGGAGGAATGGTCAAAATTCCGGCAACCCATCATTTTCCCCACGTCGGCACAAGAAGAATGGAGGAATGCTCAAAATTCGGGCAACCCATGATTTTCTGCACGTCGGCACAAAGAATGGAGGAATGCTCAAAATTCAGGCAACCATAGCTGGCACAAAAAAATATTGCTGTCACTCTGGAAATCTCGCAGGTGAGTATCGGGCATCGCCGCGGCAGCCTCAAGTTTTGATTGACATTCCCTGTTGCAACCTTTCCTTGATGGTTTGTCCAGTTTGGATGTCCCGATGTTGAAACAAAAGCTAGACACTTCCAAGTTTGTCATGCGTCTTTTTTTGAGGGTGCGTGAATTGAAACGAGTCCAAAGGGGCCTTGTCTTTTAAGGTTTTGCCACAAGCCTGGCGTGGCGGAATGCTTCAACCGCCCGAGCGGTGCGGTTACGTGCGGGCCCCCGGAACCTCTGTTCTCATTTAATGAGACCCAGTCCGCAGGCACCAACTTTGGTGAAGATCCCTCGATCTTGTCACAATCAAGGGAGCTTGACACCTCAGCAGGGATCCTTGTTCTTGCAGGGAGGGCAAGCTGATCTGCGTTACAGAATTTGAAGCTACAGAGGAGCGGCCTTGTTTTGGCCGTTTCCGGCGGACTTTTTGGGATGCTTTTGTTTGCCGAATCCTATGACGAGTTTGCCGCGTAGCAGCGCAGCTACATGACGTGATGATCTCGTTTGTGGGCTCAACTTAGCGGCTCAACGGACATTCGGCTTTGCACGCAGATCGGGGTGATGGGGCAAAACGGCAGGTACAAGGACCTGCCGTTGCAGTCGAAGCCCTGAGATGTCGGAAATCGGGCGGTGACAAAATCTCCCAGTTCTCAACCTGACGCTCGGATCTTTACGCACGGTAAACTCAGATGAGCTGAAGAGCATTTTCAAAAATGAACTCAAAGATCGGAGTTAGAGCGAGCATGCAGAGTGGCTTTGGTGGCCTCTCACATGCGAAGCAGTGAGATGCACCAGATTCAGCCGTTTCACCTTCAGATCTTTGCTGAGGGCGTGCTCAGTCAGAGATGTTAGGTTGCAGTTCCCCTGTAGCTAAGCTATAGGGGAAGGCGCGATCCCCCACAGTCAATTCCCTTAAGGAATCGCTGCGTGGTGAAAGGCCCTCCTATGCTTTCCAAGGGATATGTGCGGCTGCATTGGCTTGCACTGGCTGCAACCAACAGTTCAACATGAAGCAACATCAGAGGCAGCTGCTAGCACAGGTAGCAAAATAATTATGTCTGTGCCTTTGTACATTGTTGATAGTATGTATCGTGCTCTAACTGCTTGGCCGCTCAGCTCAGACCGAGCACGCCAACTGAGGGAGTCCCTTTGGCGGTGCGTTCCGCACTTTGAGGCCTACGGGTGGTCCAGTTCAGGCCAGATTCGCCTGATTTGCGCTTGGGGGGTGGTTGTGCCCCACATCAATCATCGGATGGATGCAAGACCTGGAGGTTTTGTAAATGAGTGCAACCATGGAGAGCACACAAGGGAGCTGAGACAAATTGTGCTAGAGTCGGCCGTTGTGTGTGTGTGTGTGTGTGTGTGTGTGTGTGTGTGTGTGTGTGTGTGTGTGTGTGTGCGTGCGTGTGTTTTTTGAAGAAACAGAACGAGCGTGGGTGTTTTGCGGGGAGGTTTGCTCCAACTCGCGCGTAGCAACAGGCGATGCCCCGCTACGTGGCCTCGCCGCGACCTGAGCGCGGTTGGATCATTGAACCAAATCCCCGGCATTGTGACCAAAAGACAGTAGCAGATGGGGCACCCGATTCAGCTTCCATGCTGGTGGGTCGGGAGATGTAAAACGTGAAACTTGTCTAAGCCCTTTTGAATGCGAGACATGAGCAGACGCTGAAGCGGTCGTCGAAGGAATCGTCGACTTTGCCGCGGAGTCTCACGCATGCACAAACGAAAAGAAGCTGAACAACTTGATCAGAGTGATATCACCGAGGTGCATCACATTCTTGTTGAGAGTGCACCTGCTGATATCCAATGCTGACACCACCAACAGTCACTTTTTGAATACCAACACCTAGGCCAACTACACATCCTCGGTCCTAAGGAACTGCATCAGCATTTTGGATACCTTGCAAGCCACCTTGGAAAATTGGAAGGACGTCATGAGGTCCAGTCAAAGTTTCCAGCAGTTAGTAGTCTATGGCATTGCACTGCGGCACACTCAGGCTGAAGACACCGCAGCCAAAATGCTGGGCCAAAACTTTCTCCCAAAAGAATGACGTCATACCAAGTCGTTTTCGCGACTTGAGTGAGGAAGCTCAAATCTGTGTTCAACACGGCATCACATTTGTCATTGACTCCAACGCTGCGGATTCCGAAGAATAATTTCTTGATGCCTGCGGAGGGGAACATGCGAGCCTGTGCTTGTTGAGCTGTGGTTATTGTGGGCTGTCGCCCGGGGAGCGGTTGACGCTTTGGTGGATCATGAAGCACGCAAGCCTGCATCAATAGGCCATTTGGTGCCCAGCCAGTTGCTTGCGGGAGCACAAAGTCAGACGTCGGCGCCGCAAAGCGACATCGATTGCAAGCGCGAACAAGCTTGTTTGCGCATGAACAGTTTGCAGCTCCGAGGACAAGCTGCCGCGGGAAGTCTGCCCTGGTGCAAAGATGGAAGCGGGGCTGTTGCGATTCCACAACATCGCCGCGGACGCCTTCTAGCGTCCACGTTGCGCTGTGGTCATGGTCCCTTTGCGAACGTGGGCCTTCAGCTCGACCAGAAGCGTGCCACTCTGAAGTGGCTAAATAGCTCAAGCTGCTTTGCGCAGTCAGGCAAAAGCCATGCCTCTGCTGTTGTCCGTCATTGTTGGCCTGGGTCATGTTTGGCAAGCCCAAACGAGGCCGTGAAGGCGCTGTCTTTGTCGTGGTTGCTTCTCACCTGTGCAGTTCTCTGCTTTGTCTGCGACGGTCGACAATTCTGGAAGCGACGCAAATCGCATCATCGTGCGGGCTTCTCTCTTGGCAAGCGCCGCGCTTTGGGTAGGTGTACTCCATGTGGGTGCTGGCAAGTCTGCGCGTGCTTTCTTCAGCCGCGCCTGCGACCGGTTTGGGCAAGCCTTGTTCCAGCAAGTGGCTTTGGCCAGTCATGGTTGCAGCGCGGCCTGTACTGCTTCGCTGCAAACAGGAGACTGTCGGGGTTCCGAAGGGTCTGTGCTTTGACAAGTGCCCCGCCTATTTGTTCTGCAAGGGTTGGAACCAGTCGCAGCAATGTATGCCGTGTCGGGTGCCCGCACGGAACGAACGTGGGACGCGCGCCTGCCAGGCTGCTCGGCTGGACTGCGGCGCGGCGAAAGCGTGAGTCGACTTGGGAGATGGCGGACAAAGACCCGAGTTGCAGTGGTAACAGCGTACCGTGTGCTTGGAAGCTGCAGCGAGCGTGTTGTGTTCTCTGAATCTGTGTCAACGCTGATCGCTTGCTGTGAAGCTTCCTGCGCCATCTGTCACGAAGTAAGAGGGAAAGAGGGTGTCCAATTTCCCATGTCCGGGCAGAGCATGGCTCACTTCTCGCAACTCGCAGCACGATCTGAGGCCTGCAGGGGCGAGAAAGGGCGGTGCCATGGCGCTGTCGAAGGCGGTTTTGGGAGGGGAGGTTTCGAGAGCGGAAGCTCCAGCCTTGAGTAGATGTCCGTTCTTTTTCTTCAGATAGTGCAACAGGTTCAGGGTTTGTCACGTGGACGGATGGGATGATCAACTCCTGAAAAGACATGCCAGTTCTCGCGAAAGGCACCGCCTGAACACGCCGATCGCAGGCTAAGCAGATTGATGCCCAGCTCAATTTGGACACAGAGGGTTGTGAATTCTTTGCTTAGGCGAGTTTGGTTTCGAACATGTGTATCCTGTATCCCCTTGACAGCTGGTGGGCTAAGGGAACTTCACCCCCGAAAGCCATGGGTAGTTTCTTGCGGGGATTCAGACTTGTCATGGGGTCCAGAGAGCCAGGTCCCCCAGGAGCAGAGGCTCGAGGTTGTGGTGGATACATCTTAACCGAGCCGATGTTTCCAATCCGCTCGGAGAGGCCATTGCCCGGCAAGAGAAGAGGTGCGGAGCCATAGTGCCGAGATGTGTCGAGCTGTACTGAGTCGGAGGGATTTGAGGCTTGCTGTATCCCTTCTTGCGCCATCGGGCAAGTTGCCTGATCACGATTTCAGTACGATATGGAAGAATTGTAGGCATTCTGGTTCAGAGAAGCAATGTGATCTTTGCGTTTTTGGCCTCAGAGTGGTCAAAACCATGTGCTCCTTTTCACACAATGGGGTACAGACATGTCATGACTCCAGGCCGGATGCGCGGGCAAGGCAGGGAGCAAGCTTGGAGTTTCCATGGCTGAACAAAAGTCTTTAATTCCTGGTGCGATAGGGAATGACCATGACCAGGGCTTTGGGGAACTTAGGGATAGGAAACCAGAGGGGATGGTTTTGTGTGGGTCATTCCCTCATTCCATGCTGAGAACCAACAAGTTTCAGGTGCTTGTGGAAGCCGTTTCAGGGAGGTCTGAACATGCTACCCCTGAGTTGAGGCGAACTCCAGGGCAAACAGGGTGGGTTTGGCGCGCACAGCTCCTCCACGTCCCCGGTTCAGCTACCATGCAAGCCGCGACAGCCATGGACGTGCGGCAATGTTCAGATGCTTCTTGCAACGGTGCTCCCGGCTGCAAAAAGATTGTCACTTCCGATTTGCCTCGGGGTTGAGAACCCGGTTGAAGCAACAGGGAATAACTAAGACGTCTTGAATCAAGGGTTTCTTGCCGTGTCCGATTTTGTGGCCAAACCTGACGGTGGTTTTAAACATGGCGCTTATTTGGGGGAGTGGACTGTGAAGCAAGCACGTTGAGGAGGTTGCCTTGAAAAACATTAACCGACGGGCTGCCGGGCTGGTTCCAAGGTGGGTTGCCGTGATCATCAATGCCCTAATGGTGCGGATCCTTCAATGCCGGCTGGTTCTGGACGACTTGTAGGACAGCCACGGGCCACCTGCCAGTTCCGCCATGGGGAAAGGTTGGACATCCATGCAGGGGAAAGGTTGCAGGACATCCAGTGACAGCCAACTTCCGTGCCAAGGTCTAGGGCGTAGTGTTTGGGCACACGCCGTGACCAGCCTGTGCAAACAGAGAGGTCAGACAAGCGGCGCTCGGCGCGCCAAGTCTAGGCTCAGATAAGAATTGCATTCAGCTTGCGCGGAACATCTTGAAACGGCGTTGAAGTGGCCACATGCTAGAGCATCAATAACGGTGATGCCATGATGAACTTGCCGTGCCAACTTTCTGAGTGACATGGGTGGGCTCTTTGCTTCCCAACATTTGCGATAAAAAAGCCTTCCTGCCTAGAGGTCCATACCGTGAACAAGCCGTTCCGCAACGTCTCGCCTCCCGAAATCGGTTGGAACTTGTTTTCGGAGCTGAAGCTGCCAGCTGTTGCCAGGTCTACCCCAGTGCAAATTTGAAAGGCCTGTGCTGAGCAGGACTAGGTGGCATAGATCGTGTCGGGGTACCAAGGATGTGGGGAGGCGCTGAAGACTTTGCGCACCAGACTGGGTATGGTGCGAGAGGCTGTCAGCCGTGAAGTCGTAGTCATTTGTGCCCTGACCGAGGACAGCTCAGTGATCCACAGCTCGGCAGTTCCCCGATCGCTCTTTGGGGCCAACACGAGGGGTGTGAAACGTGCTCATGGACCAGCAGCGCCGTGGCGCTGGGGGCTTGGGCAAAAGCCAAGGAAGCACGGGGTTTGTGTAAAGTAGCTGCGCGCTCGCGGGTTTGCAAGGCTGCGGCTCAGCACTTGGTGACCAGGTTGCCGCCCGATGGGGCCCTGCACTCGCTCTGCAAGATCTGGATGAGCGCAGATCTTGGGCTGGTTCTCGCAGGTCCAAGCTCGCCGCGGCAAAAGCCAGCTTGTTGCTCACGTCTGAATTTTCAGCTGGCTCTGATCGGTTTGATCCCTAAACAGTTTTTGGTGCATGCTAGGGGATTTTCCAGCAGGTGCTCCGATGGACTTGTCCTGACGCGCGGCCAAATTTTGCTTGAAGCGCGAACGGCCTTTTGCAATGCTAACTCTTGCTTCTGCAATTCCTCTGGCTCTTGGATGTTGCAAGCGACTTGCGGCCAGGATGCCTGCCACATTGACAGCGGCTTCTTCATTTGCATGAAGCATCAGCTGGTCGCTCGTCTTTGGAACGTCGCTGCTGGCCTGGCCTCAAGCTGTAAAAAGCCTGCGCTGCACGCTCTGCAAGGGACAGAGAAGCATTCTTGTCCTTGGCCATGGGAGATTCTATTTGCCCCTTGCAATCTTGGCAGCGTCTGTGTAATTCCTTTCCTACATGTGGCTGGCACAGCCTAGCACCGCTTGGTGTTTCCTTAAGCATGAATGATAAACTGAAGCGTCGCAGTTGCGGTGCTTGAGACAGCCATGGACACGCACGAAAACACGCATGCGCATCACCTGTTGAGTTGACCCCTTGCCACTGCGCGACACAGCAGGGGAGTTGTGGGAGCTGCCTCGGTCGACAAATTTGGGCCGGAGATGGTGTTGGCCACAGCATCATCTTGGATTTCCACACTCCAGATCGGCCTTCGCCTGTTTTGCGCCACTTGCGCCACTTGCGCCACTTCCGCCTGTGCCACTTCTGCCTGTGCCACCTGTGCCCATGCCAACCGCCTGTGCCCATTCCCGGCTGGGGGGGTTCCCATGGGAGGCTTTCGGGCACGTGCCGCGGTCTGAAGGGCCGCGGGAAATCTCTGCAGTGTACACGTCGCGGCTTGCGAGCCTTGAAGGCTCGCCCTTGCGGATTCGGCCCCTGGCGCTTTGTGTGGTTTGGCCATCTAGGTTCTGTGGGATTTGCAGTGCTGTTTCTGAGCGTTTGGGCTCAACGCTGGCGTTTGGCCTTGCCTCCGAGGCCAAACAGGCTGTGAGGGCCCCTTAAGCATTTCCACCCATGCTCTGAGCTGCCTTAGGTGGATTTGGGGTTGGACACCCGCGCGAGAGATGCTGAGAGCCTCAGGACATGTTTGAGGTCTGCTTTTCAGCAGGACGGCAGCGAGGCTCCCAAGACCTTGTCATTGAGTTCCCAAGATGAGGTGCTGTTGCGCGCTTGTCGCTCTTGGGCCTCACACTCTGGCTTGGTGAGAGGCGACGGTTTTCCTCGATTTGCCACAATATAGCTTCCCAACGTTCATTGGCGGCGTCATGGGTTTGATCCGGCTGAGCATACATTCAAGCCGCTGAATCTGAACATTGATGCGACTTCTGCCTGGGACATAGCTTGACTGTTTCTTATGTGGAAAATCAGTGGCCGCTTGGCCTCATCCCTGGACTGGAAAGTCTGGCGAGCTTGTGGCAGAATAAGCGGAGCTGCCAAGCACCAGGGCTGCCAAGAAGCGGCCGGCCGATGCCCAAATTTTGCCAAGGGCCGCGCGCTCGTCTTGCTCACCATGGTGCAAGAGTGGCTCAGTGCAGAGAAGGCCGAGCCTGTGCTTAGTGTACTCCTTGCTGTGTAGGAATCAGACCACGTGATTGTGCTTGGGCCATTGGCTGTTGAGAAGTTGAGATATGCACCGAGAGGAAGCTGGGCGCTCGGGTGCCAGGCCTGAAGAAAGCGCGTGGATCGTGCGCTTGTGCCATGGAATGCATGACTGAGGTACCTCGCAAGTGCTGCCGGCTTGTACTTGTAACAGATCTCCACCGCAGCAGGGTCTCTTGGGTCTCGCCCAAGTGGTCTTTGACCTGATTGTGGCATTGATGGCGTCTTGAATCCGAATCGCGAGGTCAGCATCTCAGGCTGCGTCAGTGGTCAGCCAGCGGACGTTGGAGCTCGCTCAAGCGGCTCCACATTGTGGATTGGCAGCAGTGAAAGCACAGCTCTAGTTGCAGAGGCTTGTGCTGGAGCAGGACTTTTTACCCTTTTCAAGTGATACAAGCCAGCCTGGCTGCCACAAGTTTGGTTTTCAATCTCGGCCCCCTCACCTGCCATCCCTTCCATCTCTTTCAACTCTTGCACCCCTTCCATTCCATGGCTGGGAGTTTTGCGTCGCGGTGCCATGATTCTAAACTGGGCTTCTGCGGTTTTCCCTGTAGTGGAGTTGTTTCGTAGTGCGTTTGCGCTGGACAAATGTCAGAGCCTGCAGCTCAGGCTGCGGACGCTTTCACCTGACTCTAGCGCGCATAAGATTTCAGCAACAGGACCGTCCCTCATACAAGTCTGTTCACGAACTACTTGACTTTTGGCCAGGTCCTGGCTGTTATTCACTTGATTTTGCCTGGTGGCGCGTGGTGGCCTGACGGCCGCCGTTTTTCTGGGCCGGCCCTCGGGTGTTTTCTCGAAGGCAAGGAACCTGTTGGCCACCAGAATGCCAGCTCGAGGCCAGCTCGAGGCCGGCTGAGGCCGGCTGAGGCCGCCGGCTCTGTAGAGAGCGGCGCCTGTGCCTTGGCTCTTGCAGATGCCGCGTGCGTGGCTGGCTGCAGCGAGGCCTTCGAAGCGTCGGCCAGCTGCATCGCCGGTTTGCGGCCGGTGAAGGCGCGGGAAGCGCACCGTGGTTGAAATGGGAAGGCCTGAGGGCTTTTGTCGGGAAGGTAAGCACAAACGTGCCTCATTCAATGGACTTTGGATGGCCTCATGGCTGCCGCGCACTCGTTTGCCGACTGTGCTTGAACTTCTGCAGGCTGAGACAAGTGTCTGAAAGTTGCCAAACCAAAATCCTGTGGCTAAGTGCAGCACCACTGGCTCACCGCTCATGTCCGGCCTTGCAGCTTCGCGAGGCCCGGGTTTTCCTCGGCCCCGCGTTGCGCCGAGCCGTGCGCTGTGTCGCGGCAACCTTTCAGAGCCATGACATGTGGCTTGCAGACAGCTGAAGAGCCGGGCAGTCTTCGGCCGGGCGCCCAACGTCTGCTTCTGCCTCTTTCCTGAGTCAAAAGTCGGCTCTTCAGTTGCCATGGCCGCGCTTTTGCCCACGGTGTCCAGATTTCGCACGTTCCGGTTCCCACGCTACGCCTCATGAGGGAAGCTGAGGTGCACGCCTGTGATGCCGGGGTGGTCGCGGAAGCCTCGCGGCTTTGGCACATGCCCGAGTGCCTGGTGCAGATTCTGTGCGGCGCTTCCGGGCTGCTTGGCTGATGCCCACAGTGGCGTCAGCGTCGCTGGGGCTGAAAAGCAGCGAGCTGTGCAACCGAGATCTCAAAGCACACTGTGCGGTGCTGGAGATGTGATGGAGATACCCAGAAATTCTTGGGTTCCGTTGCGGCTCTACCCTCACCAGGAACACGGTAGCTTTAAGCTCATAGCTTGCTGAGCGAGCCAAGGGGCTGCCCCAAAGTGCGACTGGCACGGCAAGCGCGGAGCTCGCTGGCCGGGCATTTGCTTGACTCGGGTTGAAATTTACGGATGAAGACTTGTGCCAGGGAAAGGTTTCCGGACGTCTCGCATAGTTCTAGCCTGTGTATGTCCAAGATGCGCATCCTGGCAAGCTTTATTTGTGGAAGAGCCTTGCAGTACATGCGTGGAGTCAAGCCTGTGCGCTTGCCCCCGGTTTGATTTGAGTGCTGGCTTCCGACACTTTCAAGCATGGAGCAGAGGATTGGTTTGTTTCCTGCAGAGGTGTAGCTTGTCACGCGGTCGCCATGCGACTCGGGTCACCTTTGGGCCGGCTGAAAAACGTGTGCACTCATCCAAAAATGGCGCTAGAGCGTTGTGCACGTTCCTGCATTCTTTGCGCCCGGACATGAGCGGCTCTTGGGCCCCAGACACCGCCCTGTGCGCCGTTTGTGGGCCTTGAGATGCGTCAAAACTTTTCGGCCCTTTGGGGTGGAAGAGGACACCAGAGGGAGAGGCCATGTTTTGACCCAGGCCCTGGCCAAAGTCTCCGCACTCTTCGCCCATGCCGGGTTGTTGAGGCGCGGTTAGGCAGCCGGCCTGCGAGCTCCTGCGTCTGCGTGGGCGACGAGGGCATCACGAGTTCCTTGTTCGTTGGGATGCCCCGCCTCCCAGCGGTCCACGTGCTGGCACTAGCAGCTGGGCTTGGACTCCCTTTTCGTTGGCCGGTCCGTGAAAGTCTCAGCCGGCACGGGAGCATACGGATGAGTGATCTTCGGATTGTGCCGCACAGCACCGCAGTCAGTTGGAGGATGGTAGCTGTTGCCGTGGGTGCCAGAGCGCGCTTTCGACCAGCGCAAATCAAGAACTAGGCAGCAGATCTGAGTGTCCCACAGCAGATTGTGGACTGTTAGAGAGCTTGGCTCATGGCTTTGAGATGTTGTTTTGGATTACGGAAAGGACACCTTCCGCGCGCTGTCTCGTGGGCCCCGCTGCATTCATGCGGGTTGCCAGAAATCCACCAGGGCGGAGGTTTCAGGTTGCAGGCTAATGGTTCGGGGCTGAGTCTTCCGGCTGACTATGAGTGACCAGCCTGGGTTGATCCGTTTGCCGTGTGAGTCGAACCGCAACTGCTGATCCGAGCAGCCGACTGAGATTAGGAAGCTTTGCGTGAGCTTGAAGACTCAAACTTCCTGAGCAGCCTGCCGGGTCGTTGGCTATGGTCACTGACTCACCTGGTGAGCACGACCCGGCGAGCCATGTGGGGGGACGCCAGCGGGCAGGGTACAGGGCAAAGTAAAGGGCCGGTTTCTTAGCTCTGCACAATCAACATCTTTGGTTTTGCCACTGTGAAGCTTGCCAGTCTGTTCCCATGGACCAGCTGA